AAAGTATGTTTCTATCACAGATTCTAATTCTTTGCTGAGGATTTTTAATGTCGTTTTGATCAGATCTTCAAATATAAGAACTTTTCTTGTAGCAGATGTGCTCTCTGATTGTCTTGTTGAAATCAAGAATATTAGTCACAAAACAATGGCTTTGTTTACTCCAAAATTGTGCAGGAGAAAATATTACTTTGTATTACATTATTCTTAGAGACAGATTTTTATTTATTTTAAATTTTATTTTTATTAATACAATGCATTATTTATATTCTATACTTACTCTGTACTTATGGGGTTAAGAATAAATTGAATAAATACCATAATTCTTAATAGCAATGATAACTATATTTTAAAGGAAAGAAAATTGCCATAAAACTGACTAAATGAGTTAGCATATACAAAAATTTAAAATGTCTTGCAGAGGATTACTGTTTGTCACAAGATTGCACCCATGACAAATGTTGCGTTTTATATCATTTCTTGTTTCTCATGGTCTATCAGCAATTCTTCAGATCCTAACACTGCATCACAGACTTGATGGACATTTTTTTTTTCCTTGCTTGTTTTTATTTCAGTGGGGAGACATAATAGTCCAATAACACCTGCAATCCCAGAAGAATTTCTTAGTGGCTTCATTGCTTTGCTTGGGGTGAAATGATTTAAAAAAAAAAAAAAAAATGTTCAAGTTTTTCATGAGGATCTCTTGGAAGGTTCCATAACTAATTTTGGTCATGTAAGAAACATGATGGATTGTTTAGAAAAAAATCCTCATGGATGTGTTTTCTAATTTTATTACTTTTCCTGGCAATTTGTTGGTGATTGTCCACTCTAAAAGCTAATCTTCTTGAACCAACACTCAAGCGCCCCCTTGAAAATGTGCCACTCAGAAACCAGCTTGACATGTTTGCCAAAAGCCGGAGAAAGCACTTCAAGGATCTCATGCAAAATTTAATGCAATCACATTAGTTGAATTTGTCATTGTAAAGATCAGAGCCATTGCAACAATCTCATAAAACCTCTCATAATTGTTGAACAGGAGTAGAGCACAAGTCTTATTGGCGAACTGACTCGGTGTGTTAGGTACCAATGAGCATTAACTGTGTACACATTTCCATTGAATAGTACAATCACAGCATATACAATACAGGAGCTCTGTGTGTATACATATATGTATAGCTGGCCACTTGTATTTGAGAATACCCGTCTACTAGGGCAGCTAGCCAATCCCTATTGCAGATGCTTGCTCAGGCTCATTTGAATTTTATCAACAGCCACAGAGCCTACCAGTGGTTTATATTACAACTATGCTGAGCAGACCTTAGTTACAGTTTCTGGGAAAGAGCATGTTATCTAGTATGTTCAACAATTTGAATAAGGCCAGCACACTCAAGCCCTCAGCCACGATGACTTGTGACTTCATGCTAGCACAGCTATCAATGGGCCCTTAAGGGTTTTCTCCTACCCAATTTCACTCACAAGGCTTGGCTCAACCCGTGGTTTGGTTTTTCAGGCACTTTCCAAATGTGCTGCATGCTGTGATCGACCCCTCCAGTCCGATAACATCAGGATTCTCCTTCCTGACAAATCAGCTATGGTGAGATTCAAACCCGGGTCTCATGGTCAGAATGTGAACATTCTAACCACTTGGCCATGTGCCCATATATATATATATATATATATACACACACACACACAGTAACCTCTTGATTTAACAGACTACCAAGCAGCAATGTTCATCTTGTTCACTGCTGTTAAATCTGTTATATGAGAGCATCACCTCAGAATTCTTGTGTTTAAGGGTCTGTTTTTTTATGGTTTTTTTTTGCTTTTGCCCCCCACCTCCTCCATTTAAAAATAAAATAATACAATATACACTACTACACAGTGTTAGTACTTATTTCACAATTCTACAATACCAGCCAAAGTTTTAATGTTTTAATTTGACTTAATTTTTAGTTGGAATACTACAGTACATTACAATTTTGTAATGGGCAATAATTCAAAATTCTTAGAATAGGAAAAAAAAAAGAGGTTGGCACAATATATAACTGTTATAATTTTACAAAATTATTTTTACACCCTCAAAACTGTCATTTTTCTCTCTCCCTCTCTCAATTTTGAATAGAGTTGTATTCACTTTCTCACAATTTTGAATTATTGCCCATAACAAATCTGTAATTAATGTCCGGTGACATTTAAACTTAAAAATTAAATCAATGTAAATCTTTGGCTCATGAAGGGAATAGAAGTCCTGAGACATATGCCAACATTCAATGAAATGTATTATACAGTTTTTATCTACAATTATATCCTGTCGATTGTATTGTTCAGTAATTTATTTTTTAATTCAAATTTAAAATAATGTATTTCTTTCTCATAAGCTGCTATTCTTCTAAGAGACTTGCTGCCAAGTAATAATAATCCTGTAAAATAGCTGTGTCAGGATTTTTAAAAAATAATAATATTGGAAGTATGGAAAGAATAAATTAAAACAGATACCTAC